AAAAAAAGATAGCTGTAGTTCATAGGATAACACACTGGAAGAAATAGGAGCAAGCTCCCGCTAGAAGAGAAATAATGTCTGTGCAACCTGCCGGATAAGAAGAAAAATCATATATATTGGAGAGAGTACTTAGTTGAAAACAATTACCCTGAAGACTGAGCACTGTTTTTTCTTAATTATTACTTTTTAATTGTGTAACAAATTATATAAGAAAGATTTAAAAGGCTTAGAATTTTTCCAAATAATTTAGCTGTATCACTGAACACAACTCAATATTTACAGGGAAACCAAAAATATATATAACACCTAACAAAATAAAATTCACAATGATGGCATCCACCCAAAAATTATCAGACATACAAAGAGCCAAGAAAATATGACCTATAAAGAAGAGAGTAATTCATTGAAACCAACCCAGAACTAAGACAGATGTTTATATTTTCAGAGAAGGAAAATAAAACAGTGGTGACTGTCACCCACATGTACAACATATTAAATGAATAAAGACATGGAAGACATTAAAAAAAAGATCAAGTTTTAATTTCTTGAAATAAAAACTATAATATCTGAAATGAAAAAGTAGATGGACTAGATATAAGGATTTGAGGAAGGTGAATTTCACTAAGAATATTTCTTAGACAAAATCAATTAATTGTACACTTGGTCAGTTCTTAGAATACTAAAAAATTGAATAAAAATATAATTAGCATCATTAAAACTAACTCAAAACTATTTTCTTTCAGAGAACATCAAGATGTCTTGGGTTCCATTGTTGCCAAGTGAATATTGTAAATAGTTAAATATTGAGAAAATTATATATTTGGTTTTATGGAATTAGATATTACAGGTTTTGCTGGTAAAATGTGTTAAAAATAATAAAATTCAGAGTAATGATTTTCATAATGTTTCATATGTGTATAATTAATTTTTCTAGCCAGCTGGTAAGCTTTTTGAAGACAGTAGCCTGTCCTTCACATCTTTTGAACCTCTCTAAAGTATGTAAGATGGTGTCTCCCATAGTGGGTGGTCAGTGTTTATAACATAAAAGTAGAAGTGCTCCAAATATAATGCATGGAAATTTAATCTACTAATAAGTAGTGGCAGAATTATTCTGAAGCAGATGTAATAAAGTCTCTCACAGGGTTGGGAGTAGGAGGGGAGAAGATATGCTTCCAATCCAAGACATTTTTAATCTTATTTTTAAAACATGAGAGTTAAATTTTACAGAATATGTTTTAGAGTTCTAACTTTGTTCACAGAGCTGATTTGGTTGGGAACATTTTTGTTTGAATAAAAAACACTTAGAGATTTATTTGTGCAGATTTGGACTGGGTGTACAGTGAGAGCAAATGTCAGAGTTTAAAAACAGTTCCTGAGAAGAATCTTCTTCCCATTACTGGAAGCCGTAACACCTAGGAATAGGGTAGTCATTTTTCGTTTCTTGATTAAAGAAACTGTCGTATTTTCTTTGACAAGAGGAATTAAATAAGGGACCACATTTCTAGACCCCTAAATTCCAAATAAGTTGGAAAGATTTTTGTAGAAAGGAATTTATAAAATGTTACAAATTAGAATCATTTCCAAGATTCAGACCAATATGAAGAGCTTTCAAGAAGTTATTTTTAGGGCTGGAGCAATAGCACAGCGGGTAGGGTATTTGCCTTGCACATGGCCAACCTGTGTTCGATTACCAGCATCCTATATGATCCCTTGAGCACCTCCAGGAGCAATTCCTGAGTGCACAGCCAGGAATGACCCCTGCGCATTGCCAGGTGTGACCCAAAAAGCAAAAAAAAAATTATTTTTAAGCAGCTTAGTGACATTTTATAAATACTCTTGCACTTTGAGTAGTGTCTCTAAGCTAAAAAAAAATCACTTGTGTGTTCATTCTGTTAGTAGCACTTGGTTTGGTTTCTACCACAGCAGGTGGAAATGACTCACTGACTTCTCTCTTCATAGACAAGAATCACTTAACTAGGGAGGTAGCAAATAATTTATTAAGGGAAAAACTTGGATATTTAGGGAAACCTTTACTATTTTGACATTATATTCAAAAAACTTTTTAAAATGTTAGAAGTGAGAGAGAGAGAGAGAGAGAGAGAGAGAGAGAGAGAGAGAGAGAGGACTGGGGCGCAAGCCTTGCATAATGAGGCCCCAGGTTCAATTCCTAGCTCCATGGGTGCTCTTAGCACCTCCAATCTGAGCAGCTGCATTGCTCAGCCTGGGTAACAGCTTTCAGGTCCAGACCACCAGGAAATGGCTTTTGGGTGATTCCTCAACACTGCTACCCCATAAGTATCCCCCCCCCAAAGTTAAACCAATATTCAGGATTTCATCTCTTGCCTCTTTTTATTTGAATTATTGGAACAAGAAGTCTTATGTATTATGGAAAAACTATTGGATGCAAGATATCTTGATATCCTGAATCACCAAACGTAACACAGATATACAGAGAATAATCAAGGAAAGAAAATTTTAAATTGACAGAGCAGAATCCCTAAATGATGAAGACTTAAAAGAAAAACGTGAAGGTTTTCACACAGGAATTTATCAGTTGAATGAGAGATATTGACCAGTATAATAAGAAGTAGGGTCATGATGATACTGAAAATTATAGCAAGAGTAAGAGGGAACTGGAGCAACAGGGGTAGGGTGTTTGCTTTGCACAGGGCTGACCCAGGTTCGAACCTCAGCATCCCATATTGTCCCCCAAGCCCACCAGGAGTGATTCCTGAGCTCAGAGCCAAGAGTAAACCCTGAGCATCACTGAGTGTGACCTAAAACACAAACCAAGAAAACCTAAGTAGAATGAAAGACTTCAAGGAAGTCATTTCTCAATGGTGTCTGGAAAAGATAGTGAACTTTAAAACAGATAGATTATGGTTTAGATTGAAGGGAGAGGCAAGAATTTGTTTTTTTTTTTAAGCCCAAAAGCCTGAGGTTGACATCACAGGCACGATGGGCTCAAAGTTGGTACAGACAGACCTCGCCTGCACTCCCAGACAGAAACCTGAGGGTACCTGACTGACCCAGGCTTCAGAAGGAAAGCTCTGATTCATGAGTACTTCAAGTCAGTCACGTACATGACTGATAGTTTCATTTAAAAAAATTACTTGGCCACATAAAAATTGTTACAAAACACCTTTTCATATTCATTGCTAAGATGAGCATAGATACTAAAGAAAAAATATGCTAGGGGCTGGAGCGATAGCACAGTGGGTAGGGTGTTTGCCTTGCACACAGCTGACCTGGGTTTGATTCCCAGCACCCCATATGGTCTACCGAGCACTGCCAAGAATAATTCCTGAGTGCATGAGCCAGGAGTAACCCCTGTGTATCGCCGGGTGTTACCCAAAAAGAAAAAAAAGAAAAATTATGCTAAAAAAAATGGCTGCTTCCTGATTTTTGTTGTTTTTTTTGTTGTTGTTGTTATTGTTGTAGTAGTTTTGGGCCACATCTGGAACTGCTCAGGGATCACTCATGACAGACCTGGGGACCATATGGGAGGCAGGAATTGAAACTGGTCAGCTGTTTGCAAGGCCAACACTCTACCCGCTGGCCTATCCTTTCAGCCCCAGATTGCTTCCTGATTTGTGTCCCTGGATTCAACTAAGAAAATATTAGTACAGAGGATAAGGCATTTGCTGGGCACATAGCTGACCTGTTCGATCCCTGACACATGGTCCCCTGAGCCCTGCCAGGAGTGATCTCTTAGCACAGAACCAGAAATGATCCAAAAACCAAAAGAAAAAAATTATTTATGATGAATGAAACCATGTATTCAACAATTCTACTCAATTCAGATTTGACTGGTTTCTTTTTTGTTTTTAGATGTACCATAGTGTCTTTCTTTTTTTTTTTTTTAATTTTTGACCCATACAAAGCTGTTCATGGTTAGATTTCAGTCACAGTATTTCAACACTCATCCCTCCACCAATGTACAATTTCCCAGCACCAGTGTCCCCAGGTTCCCTTCCATTCCCCTTCCCCCCCACCCCCGCAAGCCTGCCTCTATGAACACTCAGATCTTGTCCAGCGTGATCATTCCCAGCTATTATTTTCATTTTGGTCTCTTCTCTATTTTACCTACCCTTCACCCCACACACACACTTGTGGTTGATTCCATCCATTGACCTAACTGGTTTCTTAAAGCCAGAATTATAGTGGTGGTCCAGAGAAAGGCATAAGAACTGATCAGCATTGTGCATAAGGAAACTGCATGCTTCAGGGTGCACTGTGTGGGGATCCCAAAATAATGACACTGGGGGAATTTAATGTTCCTTTAAAAGTCTGCCCTTTAAGATTCCAGATATTAAGATATTAGTTAATATAAGTTATATGACTAAACAGAAACTGCTACTTACTGAGGGATGAAGAACAGAGGAAAAGATTTTTAGAAGTAATGGAGATAGTTTCACTTTTTTTATGTAGGAGTACTGCTATTTATTCAGCCACTGATTAGCTGATTGAATTGGGCCTGAACTCCACTTTACTTTTTTTTTCATAATTTTATTTATTTATTTATCTTATATTTATTTATTGAATCGCTGTGGGAGAAGTTACTAAACTTTCAGGTTTAAGTCTCGGTCATACAATGATCAAACACCTTTCCCTTCACCAGTACTCATTTTTCACCACCAAGAACCCCAATATACCCCCCTCCCACACCTCCCAATGCCTGTGAGGCAGATGATTTCCACTTAACTCTTCTCTACATTGATTACATTACGGTATCAGCTCGTCCTTCATGCCCTACCAAGGTCACAAGTTTCCCCCCATGAGTTTCACATATTTTAGCATATATTGAAACTTCATTCAGTAAATGCTTTAAATACATGTAGCTTATCTGGTCAATTATATTTAGCACTCTTTAAATAAAATTAGGGATTTTTTTTTTTTTGCTGTTCCTGGTGTTCTTCTATTTTAGAGAATGAAATAATTGGGATGTCAAATATTGTTATTGCCAATTAAGATATTAACAATGTAATTTTGTTTTTCAGGGCTAATAAATCAAGCAAGTACACCTGAAAAATGGATTAAGGCTGATGCCCCAAAAGGCCATGTAAGAGTCACAAGTCAAAACTGGTTTCAATCCATGAAACTGCGGGACTAAGAATGGTTTGAATTGTACTTACAATTTTAAACAATAATTAGCAGATCTGTAGTAGAGAAAACATTCAAATTTTATATAAATCCTGAAAAAAATACTGCCAAGAGGTGGAGGTGAACTTTTTCAAAATGTGTGCTTGCTGGACTATTGTGTTTTCTATTACCTTATAGCTAAATACCACAGCTGGGCCACTTTAAAGTAACCTCCATTTATCCACTCCCAGTTGTGTCGGTCAGGAGCCCAACATGGCAGAGTTCTGTGTTCAGGTGTTGACTGGGCTGTTTTCATCTGATGACTCTGGGGAAAGAAACTACTTCAAAGCTCACCTGAATTGTTGGCTGAATCCAGTTCCTTCTGACTGCATGACTGAGCTCTCTGGCTGGCTGTGAGTCAGCTCCTCACACTTAGCTTCCTGAGGCCACCTCGTCCCTTCCCATATTGCCTTCTTCACTTTCAAGCCACCAGTGAGGGATTTAGTCTTTTTCAGCTCTGCCTGCCTGGAATCTTTTGCCTCCAGCGAGCGAAAACTCTACTTTTAAAGAGATACTGAGAGCTATCTAAAATAATCTTGTTTTCCCCATACCCCTTGCCATTGACGTTAGCACAGTCGTGGATATCATTTCATTATATTCCATTTTCAAGAGGCAGCATGCACAAAGGCATAGTAATGGGGACAGTTACCTTAGTTCTTTGTAGGAGAACTCTCCTGTATAACCTGTTTTCACTTAATAACTTCTTGTGACCAGAGTTTCAATTCAAGCTATGAATGAAGCACATAAGCGTGATGCCTTGAACGCCCATCAGCACTGCTGAGCCCCAGCAGCGCCTTGTCATCAGCACTGAATGGTCCAACCTAATTTCTGATAAACCTTTCCAAATAATGCCTATATAATAGTCACTTGGGCTGGAGCGATAGCACAGCGGGTAGGGTGTTCGCCTTACAAGCGGCCAACATGGCCGACCCGAGTTTGATTCCTCTGCCCCTCTCGGAGAGCCCGGCAAGCTACCGAGAGTATTCGATATGCCAGACACAGTAACAACAAAGTCTCCAATGGAGACGTTACTGGGCCCGCTCGAGCAAATCGAGCAATAGTCATTTTGGATAATTAGAGTTTTGTCTGTTTTTTCACTTTTTTAGGAAACAAAAACTACATCATAACTAAAAATAAAATTTAGGAAATTAACCAACAACAGCTAGGAAACACATTGATGCAGGCAGGCAGGCAGATAGGAAAGGCCCCCTCCCAAGGCAGTGGTAGTGTATTTCCTGGGAAGTAATAGCCCTGAAGTTGCCATAGCATACCTTGAAGAAGCCAGGAACGAAGGCCTGATAAGACCCTCACCTAATGCCAGTCAGAACAGACCCTGAGGAGGCTGGACCCCCCCGCCACCCCCCCACCCCCAGGCAGAAGCTCCAGCAGAAACAAAAGACCAGAAAAGGAATTTCAAAGAAGACCACCACCACTCCCAACCCTACCCACCTTGGTAACTTCCTTAGCAACAGACTTTTAACTTAGTAGAAGCCCCACATGGGGGCAGGTTGGAAAAACCCTATAAAAGCCACTTTGAACAAAGGAAGGGCGCACAAATGCTGCCCGAGCCCATGTGCTGCTTGCGCCCACATGGCCAAGCAAATGTGTTACCTGCATCTCCCCTCTTGAGATGTGGACTTTCATGCTTTCATGTCTAATGCTGGGGTGTGTGTAGAGACTCTCTCCACCCCTGGAGAAGCCCGAAGCTCTCTTGAGCATGTTACTCTCCACTCTCCCACTTTCTCTACCTCCTTCCCTTCAAAACCCTCCAAAGAAAATCTGTTTTACTTCATCGCTTGTATACTTCTAAAATTCTTTCCTATAAGATGAAACAAGAAGCCAGTAACCCTGGGTCCTGGGTGGCAGAGGGAGATGGGGAGAAAGTGACCATCCTCCTCCTCCTTTCACATAAGCCACCTGTGGGGCCCATTGACATCAATATGAAATAGCAGTCAACTATATTTAAAGCCAGGGCTAGTTCAGTGATCTGCATTGCAAGCTGAGAGTCAATGAAGGCATGAGTTCAGATCTCCAGTGCACCACAACCAAGTGTGAGTATGAGCATTGTATGTGTAGTTTGTGACCCCCGGTGAACACAGCCACCAAAAAGTGTGTACAAGCACCACAAGAGTGCAACCCCTGGTGAAAACGTGCAAGATTAGCAACCAAATGTGCGTGACCTCATCATCACAACAACAAAATAAGGAAGAGAGGAAAGAGGAATAAAAATTATGAAAGGAATTGTGCATATTTGATTTATTTCCTAAGATGGAAAAGAAAGAAAAGCTACCATATTTTACTTTCAAGCACAGACTCATATATATCTAAAGTGCACCTGAGTAATATTTGTGTACCTGAGTACCTTGCACTGAGGATTCAAGACTTTGTCACCTGTCCCCACTGTTTCTGAGTCCTTTACTTGGCCTGTTTTTTTTGTTTTTGTTTTTTCATAACAGCTACCCCTTTCATTTCTGTAGCTCTAAAATTTGTTTCCCATAATCAATATATGGGCCATCTGTTCCTGTTCTTCTTACTCAGAGTTTTGGAGCAAACTCTGACAATAAAATATCCTATTTGGTTTCCCAAGAACAAAACAGGGTGTTTGTAGTGAGAGATAGTACAACGGGAAGGGCACTTTCCATTTATGCAGCCACCCCAGATTTGATTGCTGGCACTGATGTCGGAGGACCCCACATATGGCTTATGTGAGGCGGGATGGAGAGAGATGGTCACTTTCTCCCAATCCTTCTCTGCCACCTGGGACCCAGAGTTACCCGGGTGCTTATCTCCCCTTGCAGAAAAGAATTTCAGGAGTAGACAAGCAGTGAAGTGAAACATTTTATTTGGACAGTTTTAGGAAGGGGAAGGAGGGAGAGAAAGGGAAAGAGAGGTATGCGCTCAAGAGAGAACCCAGAGTTCTCCAAGGGCGGAGTAGCCCCTACACACATCCCAACATTAGGTAGGAAAGTCCACATCTCAAGAGGGGAGATGCAGGTGACACATGTGGTTGGCCATGTGGGCACAAGCCACCCATGGGCTCAGGCAGCATATGTATGACCTTCCTTAGTTCAAGGTGGCTTTTACAGGTTTTTTCCAACCTACCCCCAGATGGGCTTCTACCTAGGTGTGACATCATGTGGTTCTCATAACCAGCTGTAAAGAACAAATTATTTCACAATGCCTTTTCAGCAGTTTTCATTGTTGGGTGTAAACTCTAAACAATAATGGTGCATCTTTTGTTGAAATAATGTACTAAAAGTAGATAGAGTGTTAAGTAGAATTCATCTGCCTCACAGGCATTGGGAGGGGTGAGAAGGTGGGTATATTGTGGTTCTTGGTGGTGAAAAATAAATTCTGGTGAAGGGAAAGTTGTTTGTTCATTGCATGACCGAGACTTAAACCTGAAAACTTTGTAACTTTTCCCACAGTGATTCAATAAATAAATATAAAAGAATAAAAAATAAAATAATAAAAAACTTAATTTAGGTGGAAATTTTACTTAGCAGTACTTTATTTGACCTTTAAAATCATGATTATTTAGAACTAATAATGCATTTAGAAGCATTTATAGTTGAAATAAAAATCAGGAAGTGATTTGCTGCTTGTTTACATTTTTCTTGAGGTGCCACTAGGTAGAATACTTGCATCAGGTGAAGTTACCAAATGAGGTTTTTTTCTTCTTTCTCCTGGAAGTAAAGATCGTGCTGTTTCCTCTTCTCTCTTATTTACTAATGTTTTTTATTTCTTCATGACAGCTCCTGTACTTGACATTATGTTCTCTTCTTTTTTCTCTCTATTTGAAATTTCTTTACCAGAGTAGCTAAACCAAAGTGGAGGGTCATAGCTACTGTATTCCACCTGCTGAACTACTGATGATATTTTTGCGACTGCCTCCCTATGGAAACAGTGATTCACATTAGCTCTTTGCAAAAGTAACCACCAGTACAGAATTTTCAAACTAGATCAAATTTGGAGTTAAACAGCTGGAGAGATAGTATAGGGGTTAAGACACTTACCTTGCATGTGGCCAACCCTGGTTCCATCTTCAGTACCACATGGTCCCCTAGGCATCATAGAATACAGCCCTAGATGTATTGTGCCCCAAGCACTGCTGCCATGGCCCCACAAGGCCCACGTAGTAGCACATCATCAAGCCTCACATTGAACCATTGCATTAAACAAGCTGCCTTGTTGACCCAAAAATCCCCAGGAGATACCCCTAGATATTCTGAGCACTGCTAGGGAGATACCATCACCCACCACCCACCTCCCACCATACACACACACACACACAACAACAACAACAACAAGTTTGGACTTAAAGACCAGCAGACAGAAAACAAATTATTCACTTTACAGTTTCTGTACCTTGCTGAGGGTGTTGGTAACTGTGCTGATTGTCAGAATCCCAATGAATTAAATAACTATCTCTGCTAGTTCTGAGATTAGCAGACACAGCCACTGGGTAAGTAAATTCATGGTGATGAGTGGGAACAAGAGGCACACAACTGGATAGGAAGATGATTTCAGAGAGGGCTATGAACTGAAAATTCATGCAATTGTGTATTTCCTGTTTTCCTGAAAAGGAGGTTTATGGCTTTCATCAAATTCTCATAGGTGTTCATGACCAAAATGATACGGGCATGGAAGGGGCTCGATCCAGTGATGCTCTGGGGCTACTCCCAGCTCTGAACTTGGAAGTCCAGGCAGCCTGGCAGTGGGAGGGAAGGGGATGGGGCCTTGTGTAACCAGGGATATAGTCAGGGTTCAGCAACATGAAAACAAGTGCCCTGACCCCTATATTAACTCTCTGACTCATGCTCCAGAATGATTTAAAATACTGAGGAAGGAAGTAAAGGCTTTTCCTAGAAACTTAGTCTAAATCATGAAAAGAGAGCTAAAAAGAAAATGAGTAATTGGCAACTTCTATAGGGTCAGAAATAATGTATGTCTTTATATGAAATAAGTGGGTTAACTTACCCACTATTTCTATATTCTGTGTTATTAATTGTGAAAGTCTGGAAACTGAGTCAGTGTTAGACTAGTATTAGCACATGCTTAGAATTAA